CCCCCCGGTATAATGCTCCTGTAGTTACAATGTCATAGTGGGACAGGAGCCAAAGTAGTAGAAAGGGGAGTGGGAAGAGGGGAATGTAAAGGAATGTAAATGTAGTTCTCTCAGCCTCGCTAACATGTGACTCATCTACCCGTAGAGAACAGGCTTGGCTATAACACAGAGAATCATTTTTCTTTCTGTCTCTTGGGATTTTTGTAGTCCTTGGAAATGACCTTTGGGAAAAAAACAGTAGAAGTCATTTCCAGAACTCAAACCCCTGATTTCTAATTCTCTGATTGCCCGTTCTTTCCAAGATGGCTATCTGACTGGTCAGGGCTCTTGAGACAAACAAGAGCTTCTTCTCCACCTTTATCAGATCTTATTGATAAATAACATATTGCCAGGAGATTACATAACAACTCCTATTTGTGGAACATGTTATAGTTTGCAAAGCATTTCACATAGATTATTTCAGTACTCTGACAATTCCTGTGTGATTCTGGCTACCTAGAAAAGATGCCTGGCCTCTTGGACAGATGGTATTTCAAATAGGATATTGATATAGTGCCTGGATGGTGCCTTGTGCCCCACAGTAAGGACAGAAGGTATTTGTTTGCTTGTTTTAGTATTTACATAGTTGTGTGATACTTCCAAAGCTACCCCAAATTTACATATATATATATATAATTCTGTATGTAACTCTATACATGTGTCATTTGGTTTTTTTGAGGTTCTGGGGATCAAACCCAGGGCCTTGTGTATTCTAAGCCTGTTCTCTCTCACCGAGCTACATTCCCAGCCCCAAATTATATTTTTGAGTATAATATTCAGTATTCCCAGAGGGTAGGAGTCATGCCTTCAATTAACATTATGATGAATTTGCTCATATTTGGGCATTTTATTGGAGATGCCAAGCAACAAGAACTCTGGATGCTTTAGTTCTATTCAATCTGTTTCCAATCCTTTGAAGGAATTTAGACTTCGGTTCCCTGCAAGCTCTGCAGAATCCCAGACCCTGAGGCTGTCATTTGCAAACCACTGCATGCAATAACCGTGTGTGGGAAGCCTGCACATATCATCTGTGTGGATTATGGACGGTTTTGCAGACTCTGCAAAGTGGATCCATACAGCTTGAACAGAATCAGAGTCAAGTATCAGCCTGCATGAGGAAAATGATTTCCAACCAGACGGAAATTTCCCACGAGGAGACTAGAGTTGAAGGCTGGTTTTTACTACTTTTACAGAAAGTCACAAGATCACAGATTCAAGACTGAAAGGGAGCCTGAGGCCCACTCAGCTACTCCTCTTTCATTTTATAACAAGGAAACTAAAGCATGAAAGAGCGAAATGATGAGCCCAAGATCACATAGCCTAAGTACAACGCTCTTTCTATTATACTATATTATCTGTTCCAAAAAAACACCTCAATAAAGCCACATATTGTTTTGCAGATCAAAGAAACTGGCATTATTTAGAGTCATGCTTGTGGTGTGCCCAGCTTCCAGTGTGAACATGAGACCTTCATTTGCTGTCACCAGCAGCTTTTGAATGAGTTACCTTGTGATGCCTTATGTCAAAAGTAGTTATCATAAGCAGGACCAAAACATCTGTAAATGGAGTTTCATGGCACAGAGTTTCCATGACATGAAACTGGAGCAATGCTACACCATTCATGCCTTATTGGATAAGCAGTATCAAATATATGCATTAGGCTGGGAGGCTGAGGAAGGAGGATGGAAAGTTCAAGGCCAGCCTTAGCAATTTATCGAGACCTATCTCAAAGTAAAATAAATAAATAAAGGGCTGGGGATGGAGCATAGTGGTAAAGCACCCCTTTCAATCCATAGTACCACAAAACAAACAAAATTATACATAATAAATGTGTGAACAGGCAGGTTTCCACTGCTCATATGTGGTTCCTTCTAACCACCATGGAAAATTTGCCTGATCCCAAAAATGGATTCTGGAAAAATCTGGCATTAAGCAGGAATATGTCCCTTGCTCATGAATCCATTATAGCTCACTGTCACCTTTCTGCCTTTGCATTCCTTGCTCCCTCTGCCTGGAATGCCCTTCCCTTGCCCTCATTTGATCTCTCAAGATTCAGTTTAAGTGTCACTGTCTTTGGGAAGACTTTCTTGACATCGCCTCTTCTTTACTCCAAGCTGATTTAAAGTGTACCTTTTTGGTGCCGCTTCCTCCCCATCCCTGTGCTTCCTCTCCCCCCACACTGGTCACACTCCCTTGTTGTTGAAAGGTACATGGTTTTATTGCTCTTTTCAATCAGAAAGGTGGGACATCTCTGTTAGAGGGTGTTCAAAAGGGTTTATAGGGTTTGACTTGTGTTGGGTGATTTGGGGAAGATTTCAAGGACGTGGGGTTTTGCTCTGGATTGGAGGCTTTCAGGACATGTGGGTCATCTTATGATTGTCTATTGAAGGGATCAGAACATGCCACCCCCGACTATGCCACTTTGATTTACTTCTTATTTTGCGCTGAAGGCACTTGAGAAACAGCAAATGCAATGAAGATTCTGGATGCCCCCTTTCCAACTAAAAACAAGTCACAAGATTTCCCATGAGAAAGGTGCCCTTCCCGCACTAGGGAAAGAACATTCTTATCATCAGAAGCTGAGAGTCCATCTTGGAATGGACCTGTACAAACCTAATAAAATAACTTTTATCTTCCATTATTTCCCCCATATACTTCCTAGTCCACTGTCTAGTCACTTCCTAGGCAGTAAATTGTGATTTACTGCCCCTGGCTCCAGCTTCTGCTTGTGATATCCTCACAACTGATTGTTCTTTGTGTAAAAGGGTACACAGCCTAAGCTTTTGGACCTAATAACATCTTTGGGTCTTCCCCTTCCTTTAGAAGTCTCTCATGTACCTTCAGGAATATTATATAAGGGGCTGGGGTTGTGGCTCAGTGGTAGAGCACTTGCCTAGCATGGGCAGGTTCGATTCTCAGCACCACATAAAAATAAAGGCATTGTGTTGCGTCCATCCACACCTAAAACATAAATATTAAAAAAAGAGTTAAAAATATTAAATAAAAATTTGTATGCTTTTTTACTGTTAATCTGTTTTACATCAATTTAATTCTTAGGCCCAACGATTGACCCTAGGAAGGGAGGAGGTTTTTCCTCCCCTACAGTATATTCTAGAAAAATTTTAAATTAAACTCATTTTAAACTGATACTTAAGAATATACAATTAGAAAGCTGTGGTTGTAGCTCAATGGTAGAATGCTTGCCTGGCATGTGTGAGGCACTGGGTTCCATCATCAGCACCACATAAAAATAAATAAAGGTACTGTGTCTATCTACAACTAAAAAAATTTTAAAAATATATAAAGTTAGACATATTATGGGGTACAGTCTGGTGTTTCAATATATATATATACATTGCACGTTTTAAAACAATCAGGTTAAATATATCTATTTCAAACATTTATCATTTCTTTTTTTGATGAGGAGTATTGTGGATTGAACTCAGCAGCACTCAACCACTGAGCCACTTCTCCAGGCCTATTTGTATTTTATTTAGAGACAGGGTCTCACTGAGTTATTTAATGCCTCGCTTTTGCTGAGGCTGCCTTTGAACTCGAGATCCTCCTGCCTCAGCCTCCCAAGCCGCTGGGATTACAGGCGTGGCACCGGCCCCCGACTAACATTTATCCTTTCTTTATGGTGGAAATCCTGCTAGTGTTTTTAAACATAAGGCACACTGTCGCTATCTATAGTCACCCTACAGCGCAACAGATAGTACACCGGACACTTGTTATCTAATCTCTGTAGTGACGTTAATAAAATCTATCTAGAAGAAGAAAACAAAGCTAGAGCTGTGATTGGTCCCAACAGGGGATGTTCGGTCAGTTGCGTAGCCTGGACAATGTTCCTATCTTTGCCTGTGTTCAGACACAAGCCACCAGGCCTTGCCAGGGCCATCACAATGGCAATGCCCAGGGGAAAGCCAGAGAAAAAAAAGCCGCCGCCCTGCGCCGCGCGGGGAGGGGCCGGCCCCTCCTCCCACGCACGTCCCCGCACTCCGCGCCCCGCGCCCCGCCTCCCCGGAAAGGGCGGGGCCCGGGGGCGGGGCTGGGGCGCGAGGCGAACTGGCCTGTGGCGTATTTGGCGGGAGGCTGGCTTCCCCCGGCTACCTGTGGCTGCGCGGGATTTCCAGTTTCCGCCCTGTCTCTCCCTGAAGCTTCTCAGTCCTCCCTCCATGGTGACTGCGTAGGGCATAGTAGCCTTTCCCTCGGAGGACGCGATGGCGCCCAGGAAACGCCCGGAAGCCCCGAAGACCCCCAGCGTGGCGGCGCGCCTCCGGAGCAAGAGAAGTCCCCGGGAGCTGGAGCCCGAGGCCAAGAAGCTCAGGGTGAAGGGCTCCGGTACTGCCTATGCCTGCTGCTTTAATGTTTCCGCAGTTTGGGAGGCCCGCGTGGGGTCGGGCGCCCCTAGGTTCTGAGGCAGCCCCAGGTCGCGGTGCCGCAGGTGGTGCTTTTCGCCGGCCGGTGCGTCTGTCGGCGCCGGAGAGTTTAAGCTTAATCCCCGCCCCCGGTGGCAGGACGAAGCCGACGGGCTTTCACGTTCCTGTAGGTCCTAGGAATAATCCTAGCCTTCCTGGCTCGCCCGCTGCTGCATTTCGACCGGGCTTTAGCTGTATGTCCATGGTTTCAGCTGCGAGAGCCCGCAATCCATCCCTCCTGCCTGTCTTAGAAAGCTCATTCTCAGAGGCTTCAACCTGCAGTATAAGGACCAGGGGCGGCTCAAAAGACTGGGGGTGGACCAAGTGGGTTTTGTCCATGAGAATAAAGAACTGGTTGTCTAGAGTTTGGGTACAATACATCTTGGCGATCCAGAGTTGCTTTTTTCTTATTATTGTTTTAACATCCTCCCCCAAATAACCTTTTTAAAATATAGAGCTATTCCAGACTGTGTGGATCTTGCTGGTTTCCAGGAGAACCAATAGAATTTGAAACTAATACTTTGTCACCTCAACATTATTGTAATACAGGATTTAAAGATGCTTCTTTTTGTTGGAAATGCATCTCAGTGGTAAAGCGCATGCCAGCTCACCAGGCCCTGGGTTCCATTTCCAACACCCCTCAAAAAACAAAACAAAAAAAACTTTTCCTAAACAGTCACTGCTGCTATGCTGTCCTTTTATTGTGCATTTTATGTGATTTTAAGATTAGCACTCATCCCCACAGTGGAAAATGTTCTTTTTTCTTCTTCCTCTTCCTCTTTTTGATTAATGGCACTAGAGATTGAACGCAGGGGCTCACATTTGCTAAGCAAGCCCTCTGCTGGGTTAACCCCAAGCCCCCCTCCCCCCTTTTTTTTAAATTTTGAGAACAGGAACTCACTAAGTGAGTTGCCTGGGCTAGCCTTAAACTTGCTGTTTTCCTGCCTCTGCCCCCCCCCTTGCTGTGATTAGAGGCATGCGCTGCCACACCCAGCTATTCTTATGTATTTGTTTGGCTCAGCCCTCAGAAACCCTGCAAAATCATATTTAGTTTCACTTAAAAATTAGTGTTTGGTGGAGTTTGGGGAAGGAGTGAGCTTCTACTCTCTTCTTTCTTGTGCTGAATGGGACTAAACAGACTATAGAAAAGTGATGTGACAGATTGGCCACGCTGAATGAAAAATGAAACAGTGAGGCTTTCTTTATAGGATTTCAGCTGAAAAACCTTCCCTGAGATCAGAGAGGAAAATATGTGTCTGTTCTTCTTGGCAGGTTCTAGCAGGAGATATGACTCAGGCTGCCTTTGGGCGGGGTTGGCTAGCCTGCAGGTCCCGCCACCAAGCAGCAGCATCGTCAGGGCCCTCCACCAGTATAAGTTGGGCAAAGCTGCCTGGCCATCACTACAGCAGGTGAGGCATTTCCTAGCTGAAGTGCTCAAGGATTTGCATGATGCTTTTTTTACTGTTGGACACTCCAACACTAGATAATGGGTTGGTTTAGCAGGTTGTCAGAGTGATCAGATCACCCTGACCCTTCCCTCTGGCCTTCTAGGCATTCCAGGGAGAAAAGTCTTACATTGTAAAGGTCTCAGCTGGAATACACTACATTGTAGTTCATGTATAAGGCAGATATTTTCATGCACAGGGCCAGGCAGCTTTCCTTTGGTGGGAAGACTTGACTCTAAGACTCATCTATGAAGGAGCCAAGAGATTGGTAGTTTACACAGGTTTCAAGTCAACTTAATTCTATTTTCTCTATGTCAGGGTCTTCAGCAGTCCTTTTTGCACTCTCTGGCTTCTTACCGGATATTCCAAAAGGCTGCTCCCTTTGACAGGAGGGCTACATCCTTGGCATGGCACCCGACTCATCCCAGCACCCTGGCTGTGGGTTCCAAAGGGGGAGATATCATGCTCTGGAACTTTGGCATAAAGGAAAAACCCACCTTCATTAAAGGGGTAAGCAGTTCCAGGTGCCAGATGGTAGTACTGAAGAGTTATTTGATGAAGGAATGAAAGGAATGTTGACATCAAGTAGCCAGATGTTTGGGATCAAAAGTAACTGGGCACTTTTAAACATATAAATGGTAATGAACTCAAATATTTATTGAATGCCTGCCCTTGAGATATTCAAAGGTATAGATTTAATGATCACTAAGTCCCTTCATATCTCTTAGGTCCGTCTTTTCTTTCACTCTATGTTTAGCCACACCAGCTGTTTCTGTTCTTGAAACTTTGATTGCCGTGCTTTTCCCAAGGGCTTCTTATGATTGACTCCCTATTATCCTTCAGGTCTCTTTTCAATCTACCTTTTCAAAGAGGCTTTCACTGTCTCTCCTACTCAGAACGTAGACCCTACCCCACCTGATCATTCTCCTGCTTCACGTTCCCCCTCAAATGTTTATTGGTGTCTGAAAATACTGTGTTTCTTTGTGTGTATTTACCCACTGGAAAGTTGACTCTATAAGGGAAGGGACCTTGTCTTTCTTGCCACCATACCCGGCAAAATTTACCATCTTAATCAATTGTTTTTGGAGACAGGGTCTCACTATGTTGTCCAGGCTGGTCTCAAATTACTGGGCTCAGGTGTGCAGCCTCCCCAGTAACTGGGAGTACAGCAATGGCAATAAGTAAATTGTGTAATCAGTTGCTATACTTTTTGAATGTTGGGACTAACTGAGCACACATCTGAGCTGGATTGAACATCAGCTCCCCACTTTTCAACTGTTCTTGTGTTTTTCTTTTTGGTACTGGGGATTGAACTCAAGGTTGCTTAACTACTGAGCCACGTTCCCAGCCCTTTTTATTTTTTTATTTTGAGACGATCTTGCTGAGTTGCTTGGGGCCTTGCTAATTTGCTGAGGCTGGCTTTGAACTCATGATCCTCATGCCTCGGCATCCCATCACTGGGATTATAGGCATGTGCCACCATGCCCAGCTTCAGCTCTGGTTTAGAGTTGAAGGAAATGAAGGGAAATCTGGTATGAGATCTCATAAATGGAAGGGTTTGAGGAACAGCCCAACCAAAAAGGCCAGATTGGACAGGCGTGGGAGGTTGCGATTCAAGGTGTGAAATGGTTGTTAAAGAAAACAAGTGTCAGAAGCCAAAGGAAAGCCTGCCAGAGAATTGTCGAGGATAGAACTTGTTGGGTTTCCTGCCTGCCCCTCTAATAAGGCAGGTGACCACTAGGAAGGGAGCTTTAAATTGAAATCAGAACTAAGAACTTGGCAAAAAGAGATTTATTTTTTTCCAAGAATCTAGGACATGAAAATAGAGAAATTTGGTTAAGCCTGGAGGTGGTAAGAAACAGTCTAAAGTATAGGGGAAGTGGGTCCCAACTAAAAGGGAAATGACAACTACTTTGAACTTGTGCCAGACTGAGGCTGGCTGCTTTTTTTTTTTTTTTTTGCATCACAATTTTTTTTCTTGTGGTGCTAGGGAACAAACCAAATACCTTGTGCGTGCTAAGTACAGTCTAGCAGTGGAGCTACATCCCTAGCTCCTGATGACACCTTTTGCTATTATGTGCATGTAATAACTAAAGTTGCCTTATACCATCACAGAGGTTGACCTGGGCATTTGAACTTTGTGACTTGTGGGCAGCTAGCGTGGCATAAAGGAAGGGTATACTGATCTAGAGAACGTATTTTTTATCCCAGATGTGAACAGCAGAAAGTTGATTTGAGACCAGTTACTAGGGGATCAGCCATGCCACATTTTGTTACTTAAGTTATCTGACCTTGGCTGTGCTTGTCATATTTTTCAGGCCCCTTGGTTAGGGAATATATATTTTCAAAATGAAGATAGTTTTACTTTATTCTTACACAATTTATGTTGTGTTTTTTTGTTTTTGTTTTTTTTTTTTTGGTACCAGGGACTGAACCCAGGGGCATTTACCACATCTCCAGCCACCCTTTTTTTTTAAATAAAATTTTTTAAAACTTTTTTTAAATAAATACCTTTATTTTATTGATTTATATATGGTGCTGAGGATCGAACCCAGGGCCCCGCACGTGCCAGGCAAGTACTCTACCACTAAACTAGAACCCCAGCCCCTAAAAAAAATTTTTTTTTTGAGAGACATAATTTTTTTAATATTTATTTTTTAGTTTTCGGCGGACACAACATCTTTGTATGTGGTGCTGAGGATCGAACCCGGGCCGCACGCACGCCAGGCGAGCACGCTACCGCTTGAGCCACATCCCCAGCCCTTCTAAAATAAATTTTTAAAACTATTTTTACTTGTAGATGGACACAATACCTTTATTAATTATTTTTTTATATGGTGCTGAGGCTCTAACCCAGTACCTAGCACATGCTAGGCAAGTGCTCTGTCACTGAGCCCTCCAGCCCTTTTTAGACAGGTTCTTACTGAATTGATTAGTTTTTCGCCAAGTTGCTGAGGCTGGATTTGAATTTTCTATCCTCCTTCCTCAGCTTCCCAAGCTGCTGGGATTATAGTCATGTGCCACCATGCCTGGCTATTCTTATACAATTTATGTTTAACATAAAAATTCAAAGAGTAAGAGTAAAGTATAAAGAATAAAGTAAATATGATTCCAGACTCCCATTTTCAGCATGTCTTTGTTCATGTATATAGTGTTACACACATTCATTCTCCTATTACTTTTTTTTTAATGCATTGATTTAGTTGTAGACGGACACAATACTTTTATTTATTTATGTGGTGCTGAGGATCGAACCCAGTGCCTCACACTTGATGGGCAAGTGCTTTATCACTGAGCCCCAGCCCTTCTATTCTCCTATTTCTGTTATTACATAAATGTTCTATCATAGAATCTGATGTGATTTACTTACATCAAATATTCTAGTTTAATCATACCATACCAGAGGAAGACTATTTAAAAATATCTTGTAATTTTGTTTTTTTGTAATACCTTTGGTTTTTGGTATCAGGATAATGCTGACCTCATAAAAGGAGTTGGAAAGTATTCCCTCTGCTTCTATTTTCTGGAAAAATGTGTATATAGAATGGTATTGATTCTCCCTTTAATTTTTGTAGAATTCACTTGGGCCTGGAGTTTCTCTTATTTTAATATTATTTTTATTGAGGTGTATACAATAAACTACATATTTAAAGTCCACAGTTTGATGAGTTTTGGACATATGTACACACAATCACCATAATTAAAATAATGGAATATCTATCATTCCCAGAAGTTTCCTAATGCCCATTTATTTATTTATTTATTTATTTTTAAAGAGTGAGAGAGAGAGAGAATTTTTTTTAATATTTATTTTTCAGTTCTCGGCGGACACAACATCTTTGCATGTGGTACTGAGGATCGAACCCGGGCCGCACGCATGCCAGGCGAGCGCGCTACCGCTTGAGCCACATCCCCAGCCCCCCTGATGCCCATTTATAATCCATCTTTTTCTACCCTTGGTTCTGTCCCCTGGAAACTACTGCTCTGCTTTCTATCCCTATAGATTAATTTGTATTTTTTAGAACTTTATATATATGCAACCATAGAATATGTAATATGTGTTTGTTTTGGTCTTACTTCTTTCACTCAGTATAGTAATTTGAGATTACATTTTTATGTGTATCAGTAGTTTGTTTTTCTTTCTGAGTAGTGTTCCATTATAACAGTATACTATAATTTATCCATTCACCTGTTGAAGAACATTTGGATTTTTTTTTCAGTTTTTGATGCCTACAAATAAAGCTGCTATGACCATCCATGTATAAGTACTTGTTATGGACATGTTTTCCTTTTGGGTAAATACTTAGGAGTAGAATAGCTGGGTTGTAGGGTGAGAATCTTTGAAAGATGTTTTTTTTTGTGTGTGGTGCAGGGGATTGAACTCAGGGCCTTGTGCATCCCCAGCATGTGGAATGCAACGAGTGTTTATGTCTGTAGGGAGGTGAAGGGATGAGTAGCTATCTGATATTTTTCTCTTTGTATAATGAGCAAAGAGAAATCAAAAGGTAATGGGAGGGGGTTGTGGCTTAGTGGTAGAGCGCTTGCCTAGCATTTGTGAGGGTTCTATGCTCAGCACCACATGTAAATAAATGAATAAACTAAAGGTTCATCAACATCCAAAAAAATTTTAAAAAGAAAACAAAAGGTAATGGGAGGGGAGAGAGTGGCAAAATGAATAATGAAAGGTTTCAGAAATTTTATTTATGTATCTGGTTCTGGAAATGAACCCAGGGGTGCTTAATCACTGAGCCAAATCCCCAGCCCTTATTTTGAGACAGGGTATTGCTAAGTTGCTTAATGGTACTGAGCATTTTTCATATGCTTTTTGGCTACTTGTTTATCTTGTTTGGAAAAGTGTTTACTCAAGTCCTTTGCCTAGTTTTAGTTGGGTTATTTAGGGGTTTTGTTGTTGTGGAAATTTAAAAAATATATTCTGGATATTAACCTCTTGTAAAATTTATAACTTGGAAATATTTTCTCCCTTTTCATAAGTTACTTTTTCGCTCTATGGATTGTTTCCTTTGATGTTTGACTAATTTTTAATCATTTAACCCAACCTTGGAATAAACCCAACTTGGTCATGATATATTTATCCTTTACAAATATTACTGCATTGAGTTTGCTAATATTTTGTTTAGGATTTTTGCATCTGTGTTTGGGTGTAAAATTAGCCAGAGATTTTGTTTGTTTTTGTTTGAGTACCAGAGATTGAACTCAGAGGCTCTCAACCACTGAGCCGTATCCCAATCCCTATTTTGTATATTATGTAGAGACAAGGTCTCACTGAGTTACTTAGCACCTCACTTTTGCTGAGGATGGCTTTGAACTCACAATCCTGTCTTAGCCTCCTGAGCCACTTGGCCAGAGATTTTTGTGTGTGTAATACGTCCCTGTCAGATTTGAGCATCAAGGTTACGTTTGTCTCATAAGCTTGGGAATTATTTCCGGTTTTCTAGTCAATGGATAATTTAGGACTAATAGCTCTTCTTTCGTTTCCTCATCTTCCTCTTTCCTTACCTTCCTGAACACTTCAAACCAAAAGTTATTAAGTAGGGTCCAGCAAGAGAGACTTACATAGTGGGGAGGAATGGTAGCCTGGTGTCAGGTGCTGGGGCCCATGAAGTGGAGGTGGGTGACAGATGGTGACAGAGTGGCATCTTAGCAATAGAGTCAGCATCCAAGTAGGGTAAGGAGAGCAGCATCCATGCAGGCAGGGGCAAGGGACAGTGGTACCCTGTGGTGTCCTAGGACACGAAATAGTGAAGCCTGAGAGCTGGTAGGAACAGAAGATTGCGGTACTAGCAGTGAGAGTTTGGCAGACCATGAGCACTGATTAGAATGTTCTGTAGAGCAGGGAAGTGTGCTAGTTAGTGTGTTGGGTTAGTTCAGTACTTGTTGTGTAGGAGATCTTGTTCCAGCCTATTCTGCTGGATAGTAGCAGCATAAGGCAGAAGTGGAGAAGGAGCTCTTGGAAATAAAAAGTTCTTAAAACAATGCCTGCTATAAATTGAGCACTTAATAAGACAAAGCTATTAATGTTTTTACTTATTCATTTATTTATTTCTATAGTTCTGGGGATCCCAGGGCCTCGTGCATACTTGGCAAATGCTTTACCATTAAGCTATACCCATAGCCCTTTTTATTTTATTTTTAAAGAGAGTCTTAGCTGAGTATGGTGGTGCATGCCTGTAATCCCAGTGGCTCAGGAGGCTGAATCAGGAGAATCGCAAGTTCAGAGCCAGGCTTAGCAATGGTGAGGTGATAAGCAACTCAATGAGAGCCTGTCTCTAATAAAATACAAAATAGGGCTGGGGATGAGGCTCAGTGGTCAAGTACCCTGAGTTCAATTCCCGGTACCTAAAATAAATAAATAAATAAATAAAGGTATTAAAAAATAAAAATAAAACAAGGTCTTGCTGTGTTGCCCAGGTTGTCTTCAAACTTGCAATCCTCCTGGCTTCAGCCTCCAGAGTAGTTGGGATTATAGGCATGTGACACCCCACCTCCTTTATGAGGGCGTTTTCTGGGGTGAGATAGAACTGTTCTGCATCCATTTTTGTGGTAGTAATTCAAATCTGTATGTGTTAAAATTCATAGAACTCTATACTAAAAAGTCATATTTACCGTATATTAATTTAAAGTATAAAATAAAACTATATAACTAAAGTCTCAAAGAAAACTGTGGAGAGCATCCTGCTGTCCAGGTATCTCAGCAGGCCAGGCTCAGTTGGAGTGGGGTATGTTTACCCAGGCCTGGGTCCTCACTTCCTGGTCCATCATCACTCACTGACTTTTTCCTTCCTTCTGTTAGATTGGAGCTGGAGGGAGCATCACTGCGCTGAAGTTTAACCTTCTCAATACCAACCAGTTTTTTGCCTCCTCAATGGAGGGAACAACTAGGCTGCAGGACTTTAAAGGCAACACTCTCCGAGTTTTTACCAGCTCAGATACCTGCAAGTGAGTAGTTTAACTAGTAAGGGAAAGAGCTAATAAACTTCAGGTGTCATTCTGTCAAGGGCATCTTATATAATTATGGGGGGGTCGTGCTGGGGATTGAACTCAGGGGTACAGTACTACTATGATATCCTTGGCTCTTTATTTTGAGACAGGGTCTCACTGTCAAGTTCCAGGCTGGCCTTGATTCTCCTGCCTTGTTAGTCTCCTAAATAGCTGGGGTTATAGTTGTGTGCCACAACACCCATAAAGTGGCGAGAGCATCTTAGTCCCATTTTTTTATCTCAGAGCTAGTACATGGAAGAAAGGGAAGGTGTTAGCCACTTTTTCCCACTCCTTCCCTTCCTTTTCTTCCTCAAACTCTTTAAATTTTCTGACCTTGGTCCAGGTAGGTTGTTGGTTTGGGAAGGTGTTCCAGAACCTCAGCCCTTTTTAGTGAAGGAAGGGCTTCAGCAATTTTTGTTTTCTGATTTTTGGTGGTGCTGGGGATCGAACCCAGAGCCTCATATGTGTTAGGCAAGCACTCTATCAATCAGTCGTACCCCCAGCCTGATTTCAGCTCTTCTATAATTCATTCCCATATTGCACTAGACCTTGACTCTCACATGACAAGTTGACAGGGCCTAGAAAGCCTCTTAGTGAAACAGGAACTAAGAACTGAAGACTTAATGCCCTCCATTCACTAGAGTGTAATGACCTGGCCAGCTCCTTGGTGGAAGCTTAAATGGATACAATCCTCCTAAGAGCAAATGGCTGGAAAAACTAGAAAATGTAAGTTACTTTGATTTCCAGCCCAAGGCATGACTCTGACTGCTCCCTAAGGAATTAGTGGGGATGTAGAGTCTAAATAACATTAGGTGTTATCCTGAGCTACCCCATACGGTGAGAAGTACATGAGCCATCATGACAGGTGACTGGACACAAGGCTCCAGGTTATTCTTTCCCAAGAAGCCCTTCCACTTACAGATAGTCGGCAAGGGTGGCAAAAGACCATGTGGTTTGGGCTGGGGTTGTGGCTCAGTGGTAGAGTGTTTGAATAGCATGCATGAGGCACTGAGTTCAATCCTCAGCACCACATACAAATAAAATTGTGTTGACCTAAAACTGAAAAATAAACATCAAGACAAAAAAGGCCACGTGGCTTGGATTTGATGGCTTCAGAAGAACTATGTGAATTGGAGCTCTCCTGGCTGGGAATTAGGATCCACCAAGAACCCTTCCCAAAGAAAGCCCTCATCCTCAAGTCATCTGCAGAAGAGCTTCTGGATTGTGTGTGCTTTTCCCCTAAATGCTCAGAAGGGGGCAGCCGTTCATTTCTAGTCAGCTATGAGGAACAAAACTGGAGAATTCCTGTTTGGTTTGTCATCTCTTTTGGCCCCAATCTACCATCTCCCTCTACCAAGTGATGGAGAAGAGAACAGGAAATGAGGCTTCTTTAGAACCTGGGCAGTCTTAGGCAAGCTAGCCTTGGGACTTGCTTTATAAATATGAAGTCAGTGACTTTCTAGCCCAGGATGCTGGGGCCAGCAGTTAACAGGGTACATTTCTAAACCCTAGTACCCCTTTCATTCTGGATGGTGACAAGTCTATGAGTGTTCCTCACTGGGGATCCATGGAAGACAATTATTCATTCAACAATTTATTTATTGAATGCCACTGTGGGTTAGACACTGGAGCTATAACAGTGAATAAATGGACCTGTCTCAAGGCCCCAAGAGTCTGATGGCACAGTCTTTCCCTTTAGCGTCTGGTTTTGCAGCCTGGATGTGTCTGCCAACAGCCGAATGGTGGTCACAGGAGACAACGTGGGGCATGTGATCCTGCTGAACACAGATGGCAAGGAGGTGCGTTCTCTGTAGCCAAGGTCCTCCCTGTCCCTCCCTTGCCCCTGACTCAGTTCTGTGTCCCCACCTGAACCGGGCTCTCTTCTGCAGCTTTGGAATCTCCGAATGCACAAAAAGAAAGTGACCCATCTGGCTCTAAACCCCTGCTGCGACTGGCTACTGGCCACAGCTTCCGTAGATCAAACAGTGAAACTCTGGGACCTGCGCCAGATTAGAGGGAAAGCCAGCTTCCTTTACTCGCTGCCACACAGGCATCCTGTCAACTCAGGTACGGTAACCCACGTCTCAGCTTTCCTGCAGACCCTGCCTATCCCACCACTGCTGGGGTTCTTTCTCAAAGTTTAGAAGGTACTAGGTCAGACTTTTACCCTCATAGCATCTACCAAACTGATATCTGGGAACTCTTCTGGCTCTGGCCCTTTCCATTGGCTGCTGAGTTTCTATATTTTTGTTCACAGCCAATTCACCTCTCTCTGCCACCCATCTAGAGAAGAGTGAGAGACAGGGTGCCCTGCAAGAGAAGGCCTTCAAAGGCCGGGATAACAAGGGGCTTGAGTTCTGTCAGCTTAGGGGCTTTTTATTTTGCCAGCTTGTTTCAGCCCTGATGGAGCCCGGCTCCTGACCACTGATCAGAAGAGTGAGATCCGGATTTACTCTGCTTCCCAGTGGGACTGTCCCCTGGACCTGATCCCACACCCTCACCGTCACTTCCAGCACCTAACACCCATCAAGGTGAGTGATGGAAGGAAGACAGCTGTGATCACTGGGGCAGACAAGGTCTGCCCAATCCCAGATCTCTTCTTGTTCTGATAAAAGCAGACTCTTAACCCTTTGGTTCTCTCTGCTCCTTCTATCTCACTCCTGTGATTCCATTTTGCTGAATTTTGTTCATGTATCTCTGACAAGCTATTTTTCTGAGTTCTTTTCAGCCCAATCCTGATCTGACTGGGCGTTTTCTATGATCCTGACCCTCTGTTCTATCCTGTTGCAGTTACATGTGTATGCAGCTGATCCACAAACTAACCTTCGCCTTCTTAGTTTGTCTTGCAGGTTTAGGTGGCTTCTAATAATAGAAATAAGTCCCTTACTTTCCCAATTTGGATCTCCGTTTCCTCATCTGTAAAAAGGGAATACTAGTATCTAACTGATAGGGTTGTTGTGAGGATGAATCAATATACTTAAAGCACTTGACACCATGCCTAGCACCTGGTGAGTACTTAGTAATGATGATTTAGTACCCCATGTCAAATCCAGTAATAAATAACATCAAGAATCATCCAGCAGTTGGTATTCTTGCTAATACATTTGTCCTCATCTCTCTTGTATCCTGCCAGGCCAGTTTCCCATCTGTGATTTGTTAGTGACTTATTTCCAAGCTATTGTATATCCATTTCCTCCTTACAAAACATGTCTTTCCTCCTTCAAAACCTCCATGACCCAAGTGTGGTGGCAACTGTAATCCTTGTAACTCCAGAGGCTTAGGCAGGAGGATCCCAAGTTCAAGGCCAGCCTCAGAAACTTAGCAAGGCCCTTAGCAACTTAGTAAGACTCTGTCTCAAAAAATAAAAATAAATAAATAAAAAGGCTGGGGAGGCTGAGGTTGTAGCTCAGTAGTAGAGCACTTGCTTAGCATATGTGAGGCACTGGGATCTATCCTCAGCACCACATAAAAATACAAAAATATAAAAATAAATAACTAAAAAAAGGGGGGGTGGGATATGTGACTCAGTGGTAAAGCACCCCTGGTTCAAATTCCCTAGTACCAAAAAAACAAACAAACAAACAAAAAAACATCCAATTCTGTCATTCCAAAACATCAGATTTGTTTCAGGTAAGGCAAATTGGAGAAAATGGGTTTCCTCTCATTTTTTAGTAATTTTTTCTATCCTAGCCTACCAAACTCTACTCTACCCTCCCTACCCTACTCTACCCTATCCTATCCTACTTTGGTGCTGGGAATGAATGAACCCAGGGTCACTCTACCATTCAGCTGCATTCCCAGCCATTTTTATTTATTTTGAGACCAGGTCTTGCTAAATTGCCCAGGTTAGGCTCAAACTTCTCTTGCCTCAGGCTCCTGAGTAACTGGGATTACAGACAGGTGCCACTTTACTTGGCATCACTATCAATTTTATACTCTTATTCATGTGTCTAGAGGAGGTTTATTAGTGGGGTTATGTTAGAACTTATATCCTATTTGGTTTTGGTCACCAGAGGCTTTTTGCTTTGTTATAGGATCACTTCCTAGGTTAATACCTGGGCCAAGCTGATAAATAAAACACTTATCAAGCACTGGGGGTGTTGCTTAGTAGTACAGTACTTCCCTAGCATTCATGAGGCCCTGACTTTGATCCCCAGCACTGAAAGAAAACAAGAAAACCACATTTATCAATTGAAATTATCTCAAGACATGCAAAAGAGATTGAAGGTATGAAAGTATCTTAAAGGCAAGGGAGGCCACCTAGAAATTAAAAATTTGCAAAGGTAGATGCACATACAGTTGAAAACCATCCTTGTAATTTCAAATAAGTCTTACCTCCCATTAGTTATGTTACAGGCTTGTTAGTGGCAAAGAATATGTTTGTTTTTGCAGTACTAGGGATGACACCCAGGGCCTCACATGTGCTAGTCAAGCAATCTACCACTGAGCTACACCCCCAGCCCCACAAAGAATACTTTTAATGCCCCTCTTAACGAGGTTCTGTATTTAATTTTGTGGCCAACCTCTCCATCTCCTAGGCAACCTGGCATCCTCGGTACAACCTCATTGTTGTGGGCCGATACCCAGATCCTAATTTCAAAAGTTGTGCCCCCTATGAATTAAGGACGATTGATGTGTTTGATGGAAGCTCTGGGAAGATGATGTGTCAGCTCTATGACCCAGAATCTTCTGGTATCATTTCGGTGAGGCTTGGGCACTCAAATGATGGGGGGGAAGCAGGAATTCACCCGACCTCAGCAGAAATTAGTCCTATGTGCCCTTCTGTCTCTACCAATACCTTCACTCTCTCTTCATGTTGATACTCTTGTCTCTGCAGCTCAACGAGTTCAACCCCATAGGGGACACGCTGGCCTCTGCCATGGGTGAGTAGAAGCAGGTGTATCTCGGAGTGGCTAAGCCCAATACTACTCCCCAAGTTTCAGTGCAAGCTAAGCTCAATTTAGCCCTTCCACATTTACCTCAGGGCAGTAGCCAGTGAAGATGACTGGGATACAGTGGTCTCTCTGGCCCGGGCCCTCTTCCCTCATGCATTATCATGGTCATGGCAATGCCTGGTTGCTGTCCAGTTTCCTAGCATTTCCTTACCAAGACCTAGGTTCCTTGGACCAGCCCCGAGCTCTTGACTGATAGTGGAAGGTACAAGTCAGACTCTTCTTATTCCTTCTAGGTTATCACATTCTCATTTGGAGCCAGGAGGAGGCTAAGCCATGGGATGAAAATGAGACACATTGAAGAAAGTGTGGGCAAAGCAACAGCTACGAGGCCACAAATGGAAATGAGTGCTATGAAGAGGCAGCTACCTGTTACCGGGCCAAAAGTATCCAAGTCTTAGGATTGAAGATGGGCACTGTGGGACGGGGACTGGGACATTGGAATGTTACTGCTTTTGACAGCTCCAGAAACTTGGGGTGATCCAGCTGCCCTAAGAGTCCTGTTTTATCTAGCCTGGAGCCAGCTTACCCTGAAGCTAAAGTACTTTTCTCCTTTCTAATAGGTGGTGGCTGAGTGATCAGGGCGTGTTTTTTGTTTTTGGTTTGTATTCACTATTGACAAGGCCAATAAAACCAAATCCAACTGAGCTTCTGAGTAGATATGGCACTGATCTGGTCAAAGGGACACTGGAGTCTCAGAAATGAAAAAAGGCACAAAACCAGCATTCACAGTCCAAAACTTCATTCTCCGGGAGCTACCTCAGCCTTATTCTGTGCGAGTCAAGCTATCCAGTTCACCACCTACATTTACCTCAGGTCCCTGGAGAGCCCAATCCAGCTGAGGGAGTATTTTCATGATTCTATATGATCTGCTCCCTCCCACCTCCCCCAACTCCCTCCCCAGTATAATACAAACCCCCTTCCAGACCTGCTTAAGTCACCAAGGGGTGACAGAAGTGCCTGAACCATTGAGACTAATGGTAGCTTCAGCTGGACAAAGGAAAACTTGGTTGGCTGGTTGTTGGGGGATCCAGGTCCTTGGTAGCAAATGTTGTGTACCCCCAGAGTTGTGCAATTTTTCCCTCTAAATAAGTACTGAGAGGCAAGATGATGTCCGATGACCCATTTGCCAAAGACTCCAGGCTGGAAGATAAAGAGCAGGGCTTGGTGGAAGAGCAAGGCGGATCAAGCACCGACTCCTTCAGTTTTTTTTATCCCAGGTCCTGAGTGAAACCCGAATGCTTGTCTACATCTCAGGTCCTTGGGGAATATGGAAGAGGCAAATCCTGTTTGGAGAAAGCCAATGTCCAACACAGTACTTGGTGAACATCAGGCATGTGAATGCCGAGAGAACAGGTACCGTGGGCCAAGCCGAGCCCCACTTGCTCGTCTGGGCTGGTGTAATTAAGGAGGCCCAACCCAGGGTCTCCTGTCCATAGGCTGAGGAGCAGTAACAGTCAGGAACAGGGCCCAGCCCACCTCCCCTAGGAGGCAGAGGGAAGGGGGCTGAGTGGTTGTCAGGCATGGTCCTCCCCATCTGCAATGTGGCGGTAGCCAGGAGGCTGGGCCTGCATCCGGAAGAGGACGGTGAGGAGCAGCACTATGAGAAGGAAGAGTATGGAGCCACAGACGGCCAAGGCCACGATCACCTCTGGGCAGGGGGAGGGGAAGAGAAAGGTAAAGTTAGCATTCTTCCAACAAATGTTGAGCATCTACCATATGCCAGGTACTGTTCTGACATACAGGCGATATGCAGGCAGCCCTCATGGAGTTTATATCTAGCACATGGGTTCTATTTTCCCAGTGCTGGAGATCAAACTCAGAGCTCACATATGGAGGCAACTGCTCTACCACTGAGCTACATCCCCAGGCCAAATTCACATTTTAGGAGGAAAGATCCAATAAACAAGCAAATGGTAGGAACGACAGGTTAGTGATAAGTGCTATAAGAAGGTCAGTCAGGGAAGGCATCAATGAAGAATTCAGACCAGACAATGAGTGAGACAAAGATATAAGAGCAGAGTGGGGGTCAGGAAGCAACTACAGATGGCCCCAATATGGGAATAAACATGGCATGTTCCAAGATAAGCAAAACAGTCTCACTGGACAAAGTAAACAAGGGGCAAGTAGGAGATGGGGCAGAGGACCAGGCTAAGGAGGGCCGGGAGGTCCTGTCGAGAACTTGGATTTCATTCTCTATGGAATAGGAAGCCACTGGAAGATTCTGATGTGATGAGAGATCAACACAGATATGAATAGAACCAGAAAGAATGCTAGAGACTTTTCAAGAGTTCAGGCAAGAGCTGATGACATGGGCTAAGGAGGGAAGAGCATGCACCTGAAAGACTAAGCTTTCAGGATCTGCTAGTAGGTTGGATGTGGGTTATGAGAAAAATATTGCCTAGGGTTATACTGTCAGTAGGGTGACTAATGTGGCATTTACTAAAATGGGGAAGCCTGGAAGAAGAGCAGATTTGAGGGGAAGAGCATCTGATTTTAGACATGTCAACCCAAAAGCCCCATTGGACGTCCACGTAGAAACCTCAAGTCAGCTGGACATGAGTTTAGCCCAGAGAAGATGTCATGCATCTGCAAGTCATAACAAAGACAGGACTTAGCATGGAGATGGTGTATGGGAGCCACGAGGCTGAGATCATTTCAGGAGTCAGGATAAATAAGAAAAGGGCTGGGAAAAGCTGGGGACCATCGTTTTATTAGTGGGGAGGGAAGCCTGTAAGTAGGAGAAAAACCAGGCGAAACCAAGAAAGTTCTTTCTTTTTCCTACCTTGTGGTGGCAGGGTTTAGCAGTGCTGGGGATCATCCCAGGGCTTCTCACATGCTGGAAAAGTGCTCTACTACTGAGGTACACCTCTGGCCCCAAGGGAGTGTTTAAGGAAGGAGTGATCAAGTATGTTAATGCTGCTGAGAGGAGAGAAGCTAAGTACTGGTCACCTTGACAGGGGTGGCTTCAGTGCAGTGGAAGGTGACATGAGACTATCTAATGTCACTTGGAGAGAACAAGTAGTGAGGAAGTAAAGCTAGAGTCTAGGCAACTTTTCCATGAATTCTACCCTCAAATGAATCAGGGGAGCTGGAGGAATGGGCTTCAGGGTCTCTGTTAGGCTCTGAGATACGACTATCCAGGAAAGAAGGGAACACTGAGGCATCAGAGGTCCTCGTGAAGAGCAGAAGCAAGGGATGCAAAGTGGAGCAGCTGCCCCTGCTTCCTGGCTAAAGCCAACTGTGAGCCGGTAGGTCTGAGGGTGGGAGAACGAGTGCTCTCTCCTGGCTGCTCTTATTTCTCAGTGATGTGAGTGAGTGCATCCCCTGAAGGTGGAGTGGGAAGAAGGGGTAAAATGTTCTCAGGGTGGAAGAGGGAAATGTCCAAGGAGATGCAGTAAGATGGCTGGAAGTGTGACAGCTCCCTCAAGATTTGTGGATATGACCTGGGATGTGACTAGCACAGAGGCGGGCAGCAGCTCACCTGTGTCTGCAGTACTGCTTGCCAGCTGGCATTCCTGCTGCCAGTCCTTGGGCACAACGGACTCTGTGAGGTGAAGGAAGTCCTGCAGTGGGCAGCGTAGAGAGCAGCCAGGCAGGATCAGTGGCCAGGGGTCCTTCTTACTTTCATTCCGAAAGTACATCTCCACGGAGAAATTCCTGGGGGTTGACAGCAGGCGATGGGAACTACTCACCATGCCTATAAATGAGTCCTTGGGCTGCCCCCAGCCATACCTGAGTGCCTCTCCAGAGGTCACACTGGTAGCTTGACTTACCCATTATCTTCCCAGAGTTCAAATATGTGGCAGGAGGCATAGGGGGCTTGTTCACCATTGTAGACATCCAGTGCCATTTGCAGAGCAACAAGGGTAGTGTCGTGCTGTAAGAGAGATGGCCTGTCCATCAGCACTGCTCCCCAACACCCCCAGGCACTGAGTAGAGATGAAATCCAACCACTGGCCTGGTGTCAGCACACTGGGGAGTTCAGCATCTTACCGCAGAGTACACCAGCAGCTTAGGGAGTTGGGAGGTAGTTGCCATTAGGGTCAGGTTCTTCCGTATCTGAGCCAGCAAGACTCCTGAAGAAGAAAAGTCCTCAGTGTCACTGGCTATAGCCATCATTATCATTGGATCAGACCCATTTGCTCCTCTCAAGCTCTGCTAGTCCTGGTTCTAATCACCAACCCAGGTTCACAAGGCCCATGTCAGAACTCTAAACCACTCCCTGCCCTCCAAGAACTTTCAAATTTACAGAGGGAAGCAAGATAAAACAAGGTATCTATAATTAAACACAGATGAAGAAAGCTGTCCCTTCATCAGTGAGCTATGAGGCCCTTCCCAGTTTGATTACTCCAATGTGGAATAAAATGTAAACTTAAGACTGCTCCACAACACACAAGATGGTGGCTCCATGCCAGGGTGACTGCCATATGTAGGTTCTGAAAACTACTGAGGTGTCAGAAAGGCTCGACAGCTGGCACATTCTTGGGTGCTGTAGCATGGAAGCTGGCACACGTATTATTCTCAGTCTTCCCTCAAAATAGCCCTAGCAGTTCTTTGGAGGAAGTATTCAGTCAGGGAAGAGAAGGTCTTCTGACATGGGTGAAATTTAGTAAGTATGGCAAAAAAGAAGCATGTAAATCTGACTGGTCACAGGGCTAGGTGTCGAGAGAGCTGGATGACTAAAGGGGAAGACAAGGGGGAAACATGGTTTTGAAAGAACAGAGAACATTTCATGAGCAGCCCCATAGCATATTTTCAATGTGGAGGGGAGTGACATGCTGTCCTTGTCACTCACCCCCCTGAAGCCGGGCCTTCTCTGCCTGCTCATGGATCCCGAAGAGGAAGCGGAAGCTGAAGTCCTTTAGCTGGCTCAGACGCTGCATGGTTTGGGGTGAGGCCCAGGGTGGCAGGAGTAACCCATGGGTTTGCTGTGTATTGTATGGGGCAGGTTAACTCCCCAGGCCTAGGCCAGAGCTTCTCTGGGGGCAGCTCTCTTCCCCAGAGGGAAGGTGCCTGTGTGTGAGGGAAGGGGAGGAGAGCAGAGGTGAGGCGGAGGGGCTGGAATGGCAGGCCGTGTTGGGGCTGCAGGGCACAGGAGAGGAAGCTCAGGCACAAAGAGCAAGATTCAGCAGAAAGGCGCCTGATACCACAAGAGCCCTGGGAGGAGAGGAGTAGGAACTGCTGACCACTAGTAAACATTTCCCACTCTGAGACTTTTCACCCGTGGGGGAAGTTCCCGTGTTTCACAGGCAGCAGCTTGCTGGACCTCCCCAGTGGGCATGACGGAATTCAGGCATTGTGTTCTACCATCCTGGTGACTTGGGCCTGCTGAGGGGGAGAGAGAAGTAATCCCACTGGGCACTTCCGTGGGCTCACCTCACAGAAGAGTGTGTCATAGACATTCCAGACAGTCTCCAGAGTCAGGTCTGTAAGTCCTGTCTCATTGGCCACCATGTCCAGAAATTGCTATGAAAAATGAATTAGGGGATCAGTCCTGCCCTGGGGAAAGAGCAGTCTGATGACCTCCGGCTCAGCCCCCACTCACTGCATTCCGAATACTCTCATTCTGATACTCTGGTGTCTGCCGAGTCTCATTCTGCAGCTGCTCATAACGCGGACACGGGCCCAATGGAAACTTCAGCAGC